ATTCACATTTAATCTCTGTAAGTCATAGCCCTTTCCAGGTAAGAGCTAAACCCGGCTCGGCCGGTCAACACACTAACATTTTACTGTGGCTCGGCTAGCCTGGGCTCCCCTCGGCTAACCTGGGCTCCCCTCGACTTGACCCCGGCCGGCTTCGACTCGCCTCGGCTTACTTCGGCCAGCCCCGGCAGCTGCACGGTTTGCGAATTTAACCCGCAGACCGTGTAGGAGGAAGCAATGAGAGAGACGGAGGAAGGAAGGAAGGGAAGGGACACACAGCGGGGAGGGGAAGGGTGCTGAAAGGAGGGACGGGCATGAGAGGTGGGGGCAGGAAGAGATTGGGTGGGGAGGCTATTATGCGAGAGTGGTAGCCGCGGGCTCGGAGGCACGAGAGGGGTAGTTAGGTTGGAGCATCGAGTGGCCACGTAGAGGAGAGGGAAGAAATGATGGGTGGAAGGAAAGAGGACCTGCGTTGCTGGTTTTGTCACGGAAGTGCGGGGTAGGGGAAGGGCTCCGGAAGGATGTACACTGTAGGGGGTATAGAAGGGGAAGAAAGAAAGGCTGGCAATGCATGAACACACTTTTGGGCGTTGAGTTCGAGACGCGGAGAGAGGGGCTGTGATGGGGATGAGGGAGGGCGGTGTGTGCGGATTTCGCGCGCAGGAATTCGAGGGTGGGTACATTGAATGGCTACGCGACGTAGATCCTTTGGCTGTTGCCTAAGCCATGTAAGAGAGAGGGAGGTGGTGATGGCTTGAAAGGAGTAAACCGAGAAAAAAGTACAAGCGAGAAAGAAAATAAAAGCAAGAAAAAAGTACCAGCAAGAAAGAAAGTTAAAGGAAGAAAAAAGCACAAGGAAGAAGGAAAGTAAAATTAAGAAAAGCGAGCGAAAAACCCGCCACCGCTAGGGGACACCCCTACCTATAAAGCTGATACTTCGGTGAAGGGAGCTGAAGCGAATAAAGCAAAGCTGATGCTTAGGTAAAGCTAAGAGCCCTGAGCTTTACCTAAGCATCAGCAATTTGACCCCTCAGCTTTACATATGCATCAGCAGTTTGATTCTCCAGTTTTACCTAAGCAACAACAATTTGATCCCTCAGGTTTACCAAAGCATGTGGCGGGTTTCGTTCGAGGCAGGGGCGGGAGGAGGGAGAGCTAGAATAGGTGCATACATGGACTAAACGGCGCAGACCCTTTGCCGATTGACTAACTAAAGTACATTTGAAGGGAAGAGGGACTAGTGAAGAACGGAAAGGATGAGGAACTGTCTCCTGGTTCTTACCGCAGATGTCTGGGGTAGAGAAAGGTGATAAAGCGAGCACAAATCGTATTATCGCAACACTAAAAATCCGCAAGAAACTGTGCAAAAACGCACGATCGCACCGGTTCGCCTGGTGCGTTCCAGCCTGGGTTTATTTTAATCACTGCGTCAAGGCGGGAATTTCTAAAATTTTTAGCTGCATATCGAGAAATCGCGGCTGTGCTCACTCAGTGCTACCAGGCAATCCTTCACCCTCAATTTGCTGAATGCAGATGCTACTATAGGTGCCATCCAGTCAATTATCCTCCGACAATTGCTTTTGCGAAAAAGATACATGCATATATATATACAACCTAAATAATAGCTAGTTCTCGAAATAGCACAACTACAGCTCCTGGAAATATCGCAGAATGGATCCCAAAAATATATCCTAAACAAAGCAGCAGGTCTTCAAGCACAGAATTTCGCTTCCTTGCTAATATCAGTTCTATTCTACTTACGGATAACTTTGGATGGGCACTGACAGACATGGTATAATGATAACTGGCGGTATTTTTAAGTTAGATTTTGAAAGTCGGAAACGATATAATCAGAGTCAGTACCTATTCGCTTCCTCCGTATCAATGGCGAAATAGTACTGACACTGCTGAGGGGAACTCAAAAAATGTTGACTAGTGAAACAAAGATATTAATCATGATATATACATAAAAATACAAAATTAACACTAAAACTGGATGAACTAGAATTTTTCGGCCCATCAAGTTGTAGACATTTCTATTCAGCATCACAACTGCCGTTGCTGCTCTTTTTTTTTACAATATATCGATAAAACTATATCAAGCTCGATTTTCCTTTGCAGGATGCATGATAATTCGGGAGCTGAATAATTATAAAACTCATATGTGGCAGATTTCGTGCCCTGAATTTTATATTTGTTGGCCATCTATGCAGTTTCAGTAAAAATTCTGATGAAATGTGGCAGCTACACTTCGCGCCTCGAGTTAAGCGGGAAACTGTGGCAACAATTTCGTCTACAGTTTCAGGAATCCCAGTTCCAAATGTCCGCCTCTAACAAATAGTAATTCATGAAAAGATTTTGACTTCGGATGAGAGATAGTAATAATTTCCCTTACAAAATTCCACTGCTGGTCTTATAAACACTGAAAAAAGCTTGAAGATGGCTGCTGGAGATTTGGTATTAGCCATCCGAAATTATTCTCAATCGGCGAAAGGTATGGACAAATAAAATGTGTTACGGGATGGTCCAGAAACAACAGCAGCTGGGCTATACTGCATTTTCTTCGAATTCTTCCAGCTATGCTGCATTTTCTTCGGATGCCAGGACTTTCGAGTGCACAACGACGAACGAAATTGCCCAGCGAAAATTGATCAACAGGCATTTCATCGCTTTGGTCCACCGTTCCTCCGAGTTGAACTGCATCTTCACCGAATACTCCATCTTGTTATCTTCAATCCTGTCCCTGTACATGCGATGAGGGAAACGAAACTGAAATCAATCACTCAAATTACGAGGAATTCTAATATCGCCCTTACAGTTAACTGCATGTTTTTTGCTGTACAAGTTATAATAGAAATACTAATTACGACATATATGGAAATACAAAATTATATTTTAAAGAAGCTCAGATGAACAAGAACTGGAATTAAATTCAAATTAACGGCCCGGTTAATATCATATTGAGGGGATGAGGAAAATCCTCTTAAGATTTCAATATTTTAGTTATCCAGATTCTCGTGTTAGCAACTTATCCGCAAAAAATTCTCACGGCCTCATACGTGGGAACTACGTGAGCAAGAAAGTCCATTTTGGAAAAAACGACCCCTACATGCACATAAATTAAGTTCTCGAATTTTCAGCCTTGTAGCTCTTGTAGATTTAGAGATGAAAAATCAGTGCAGACGAACATACGGACACACACACACACACGCACACACACAAACACAGACAAACCCTCGTCAATATGCGTTTTCTACATTGCATAGATGCAAAAAACGCATAAAAATCATCACCTCGCCGCGTTCGATACGTTTCTGTAACTGGCAGAAGCAATCCATGAACGCGCAAATGCCTTCATCGAGCTTTTTCTGACCAAACGGTTTGAAGCCGCCGCTGCCAAACAACGGTAAGTCCACATCACTGTCAATGCATTGCACGAATGAGTAACTGCCCATCGGTACAATACGGTAGACCGAAAAATGAAAATCATCCAGACAATCGCCCAAAGTCTAAAAATATTTTTTCTTCTTTTTCATGAAAATTAAAATCGCTACGACTAATTGGACATGGATTCCAAGGTCAGAAGTGCTACAGGATGTATCTAAATGCATGCAGTAGTTATTTCAGGCCCACTGATTCTGAACGACAAGTTTTTAGTCTGGTATTCGCCATTTTTTTGACTTATATGCGTCATATATTTGAAAGTCATCCGAGTGGTTGTTTTCTTTTCTCATCGCCACCAATTAGATCGTGTCAATTAGTTACCCGCAGAGCAAGCAACGTCTTAAAATTCGTGTCTTACCCAATTCTATTCCTCAGTTGACCGTAATATCGGTCCACGTAGCACTCATCTGATGAAGAATCTGATCCCTTATACAAGGTCCGTATGGTCAACAGCCAAATCTCATTATGTTGAGGCGAAGGCGTTTGAAAGTAACCCAAAAACAGCAACAATCACTCGCTGGCAAGGTTGTCGATCGCTCAATTCCTCAACGTTTTTTTGCAAGCAAACTGCTGATTGCAATTTATGGGTCAATATTTGATTAGCAGATACAAATTCTAACTCGCGTAACCTCAAAATCAAAAAATGCAAAAATATGCCAATTTTTTGACAAAATTCATGTTTTACCTGACCTACAATAAATACAGGCCTTTTGAAATCTTATCAGACAAGTTATCCAAACATATTTCCGTATGATTTCAACAGCGAATAAAAATTTATAACTTGCATTGAGCAGCAAAGCCAACTGTCCCCAGGCAGCATTGATTTCGTTCCATTCCACCTGCGAATGTGGCAGTTGGCCAAGACGAAAGCCATTTATGGTACCAAAGCAGCCCTGTTGCCAGATATGGAATGCCGTGTTTAAAACATTGATTTTGGATAGCTTATCGAGTCGTACTTTTAAACAACGCAGGCTCGCTTCCGCGTCACGCTTCTCCACTTCCTTCTTGAGCAACATTCTGAATTGGCAATTTGGCGAACAATACTAGCAGATATCGTTAAAAAGGTCCACTAAAACAACAAGAAGCGCGGCACTGCGCTGTGTTGTGGGGAAATTGTATTACTGTAAACGTTTCTTAAGAAAACTTTTTTTTTCTTAAGAAAAGTTTTTTTTTTTATGAAGTTCGCGTTTCTTAAGAAAACCGAGGAAAACTCAAATGTCGTTGGGGAAAAAAAAGAGGAAAAACTCTTACTCGAATAATAACAATACGTATTATACCTCTGAGTATAGGAATCGTAGGAATACATAAGTCATAATAAAAACGTAAAACCGAAAACAGCAGCAATGATGAAAAAGAAGGCCAGGTCCTACCAAACCTGGGATTTTCTCGTCCCAGAAATCATGAAAACCTCCTCGCATTAACTTGGAAATTTCTTTAATGCAGCCATCGAAAACTTAGTTTTATTTTTCTTTTTACTACTATGCAACATTAACCTTCTATAATCTCATTTAACATTCACCCTCATTTCCTTGCCCTCCTTCATCTTCCTCCGGTAATCACCACATTCCTATTAACATGGCAAAATGGGGCACTGTACTGATGATTCCCACCGCATTTCGCACCGATTCTGCCGTCTGTGTTTACAGGTCAGGGGTGAAACACAGATAGATTACCAGGTCACTGTACATACAGGCTTGCTTATTTGGGAGATTTAAATGGCACTTCCAGTTTTTATGCGTTTTTTGCAGCAATGCAATGCGAAAAACGCATATTGACGAGAGGTTGTCTGTGTGATTTTTATGCGTTTTTTGCAGCAATGCAATGCGAAAAACGCATATTGACGAGAGGTTGTCTGTGTGTTCGTGTGTCTGTGTGCCTGTGTGTGCGTCTGTCACGCACTTTCATCTCCGGACCTATAAAAGCTGCGATGTGTCTGTGTGTGCGCTGGGCCTCTGTATCGGTTTTTCATCTCGAGACCGGCAAAAGCTACGGAGCTGAAACTTTGGGGACTTGTGCGTGTGTGTGTGCGCTGCGCGTCTGTACCGATTTTTATGCGTTTTGTGCTGTGTAACAGCCGCGTTTTTTGCAGCTATGCAATGCAGAAAACGCATATTGACGAGAGGTTGTCTGTGTGTGTGTGTGTGCGTGCTGTATGTGTGTGTGTTTGTGTGTGTGTCTGTGTGTGCGCAGCGCGTCTGTACCGATTTTTCATCTCTGTTTGTGTGTGTGTCTGTGTGTGCGCAGCGCGTCTGTACCGATTTTTCATCTCGAGACCGGCAAAAGCTACGGGGCTGAAACTTGGGGGATAATTCTACATGCACGTACGGGCCCCCATCCCAAAAATTGGCGCCAAAACCCGCGTGGTACCCGCGTACGGACCCCCCAAAGTTTTTTTGGGATCAGTT